AAGTAGGAGATGAAGATGGGAGGGAGAGGTGTGGAGGGAGAGAGGGAGAGAGGGAGAGAGGGGGAGGGTGAGGGAGGGAGGAAGAGAGGGGGAGAGAGAGAGGGAGAGAGGGAGAGAGGGAGAGAGAGAGAGAGAGAGAGAGAGAGAGAGAGAGAGAGAGAGAGAGAGAGAGCAAAAAGCTCTTGAGAAGGAATACATACGTACACGGGTTGATGCAGGCAACAAAGACTACCCGTCAAAGAAAAACAAATAACCGCAGAGGCCTTTCGTTGTGGCGTGCATGTTGTACCGGACACGTGAACGTAACGAAGAGGGGCTTTTGCTCGCCGCGCAAGCCTGCCGCAACAAACGGTCATGGCGAGTTGTCTGCTACAAATTGATCGTTGTACTGCTGCTGCTGCTGCTGCTGCTGCTGCTGCAGTGCTCACGCAACCTCGCGCACAAGATGCGTGTGCGAACAAACGCACGTCGCTTTGAAACAGGCGAACGAGGAGAAAAAAAGGCAGCTTGCTCGGCATGCAGCCCATCAAGTGTTCGTACAGGCACGGGTGATCTAACAAGTCCATCTCGCTGCACCAACCCAGCCACAATCTGGCCAACCAACTGGCTAGGAAGCCCCGTCTTGTTACCATCCTGTAGAGCTACAGGCAGGAGGAGGAGCGCTTTGGGGTTTTACAGCGGTTTTGGGGTAGCGCGCCCGCTGCGGACAGAAACACCCAACACCGATCGATATTGGCTTGACGAAGAACACTACAACTAACAAAAACACCGAAGAGTGAAATGTCTGGCACCGATAGACTTTATTTGACTGCATTTTCGGAAAAGGTATACGTCATGCATAGATAGATAGAAGCAGCGCAGCGAAGAGAGAGGAAGGAACGGATCGCCGTACGTACACTGATGCTGCTGGTACGGATGGACAGGCAGGGAGAGGCACGCAACGGCCGCACACAAACACTTGACACCGTCGTAAAACGCACAACAAATTGAACGGTACTAAATAATTAGCATTGTGTTCGGTTCTTGCACAACTAGTCGGAACCCTCGAGTCATTTTTTTTAGTCGGTGGGAAACAACTACGGAGTGGCAGTCCAGCGAGACTCTGACTCAATAGCAGTGGTTTCGGTAAACCAAACACGACCGGGAGCGAAACACTTGTCGCAGCAGATTCGCACGCTGTTGCCGTGCGCGACAAGCACCTCATGCTCCGCGTTATACCCCGGTTGAGATGGATGTTTCCGCGCGAGGCATCAGGTCGAGGATTTAGTTATTTCTCTATTCTTCAAAAAGCATCGCGAGTAGCAATTAACGTCCACCGCAGATGAAGAGTCTGAGACAGGCAGGTTCGCCTTCAGCTCAGAGCGTTGGACTTGAAAGCTCTCTCCTGCCCTCTATCGATCAGGTTTCGCCCCACCGCCAGCAAGTACAAGTAAGAGAAAAGGAGGTCTGTCTATTGTCGTGTACACAGCATGGTGGCATCGAAAATTTTAAATCCGTATAGTAGTCTTTACTTTATCGAGATACCAATATATATTGTAGAATACCAGGGGCGATGTCTGCGAAAGTCCCCCCCGTAACCAAACAGCAAATCCGACAAGTTTTGAGACTTTCGGCATGAGACTTTCGGCATAAAGGACTGGTCTCCGGAGAGCCGTTTCTATTTAATTCTCAAAAGAATTGAGTGATTCAGCCCTCTGGACTGCTGGGCTCATGAAGGGGATAGCAGCAGCATACGTAATAGATGGATGTTCATCGAGGCATGGATGATGCTGCGAGATGAAAAGAAGCAGGGTTCCCCAAGCCCAACACCTCAGACAACAGAGCGTGTTTTAATCGAAGAACCCAGCGAACAACGAGCCGAAACAGATCTACAGCAGTACTTCTCTCAGCACGTCAAGTCGACCAACTGTAGGTAACACCTTGAACAGTAGGTCTTTCTGTGTGAAAGCATGTACGTGTACAGCAGTGTACAAGTACATTAGGATATGCACACACAGAAAGACTGCCAGTTCGAGGTACATAAATACCCATTCGAACGGGATGTGTATGCGCATCCTAAAGATCTACTGCTGCTGTGTCTGCGTACAGAGGCCGATCTGTACGGGCCAAAGGTCCGAGTCCGCAACTACATACTGAACTACTGAACTACTGCTGTGCGATGCAACGAGGAGGAAGATTCGTGGGAAGCGAAAGTAACAATTGTAATGTGCGTGCGCCAACACGCGCGTCTGTGTGCCACATGTACATTATGTACATGGACAGCAAACCTACACTGCAGCAACGGCGGTGCCGGCATTGATGTACCTGCATCATCCCACCAAGAAAAGGCTCTGTGGTATCACACGCGCATAACAACTGCTGTGGGTGGGTGGGTGTGTTCTTTTTTTCGCCGGACGCATCCTGTGTGTGCATACATTCCTACACGGGCGAATTTTCGAATTATCGGAGTTAAAAAAATCAAATTCATAGGCGTATAGTATAGGGCCGGGGCGGAAAAAAAAACTCCCGCCTCACCTCCTCTTGCGATGGAGCATCCAGAGCAGCTTTAGAGAGGCATCTCCCGGTCGAAGACAGCAGCGATTTCCTCCGAGTACGCCGAGCTCTCCGCTCCCACCGGCATCAGCCCCGCAGCCCCGTACCTGTCGTTCGGGCTCAGCTGCTGGGGCCGGAATTGCTGCATTTCTCCGCCCCCGCCCCCTAAGTTGTTCATGTACCTGCCGTGGGGCTGTTGGATAGGCTGTTGGTGCGGTTGGAAGTGTAGCTGCTGCTGCTGCTGCTGCTGCTGCTGCGAAGCGCTGTTGACTCCATCCATCGAGTACCTCTCGCTCGGCGACGCGCGGAAGTGCGCCAGGCTCTCGGCCGCCCCCAGGTACCGGTCGTTCGACGGGGCCGACAGCGGCCGGAACTCCAGGCTCTCGTTCTTGACGTACCTCGTGTCGTTCGGCTGCTGCTGCTGCTGCTGCTGGGGGGCAGCAGAGAAGGGGGGCGGCATCATCAACGGCGGTGGCACCGACGCTGCTGCTGCTGCTGCTACAGGCAGCACCGCGGTCCGCTTGTTGGGGATATCGCTCCTGGCCGCCATGCCCGCCGACAGCCCTGGCGGCACCATCCGGCCCATCCCCAGCTCGTACGGCGCGATGGGAGGCGGCTGTTTCCGCTTCGCGCCCGCCGCCGCAGCCGCAGCCGCCGGTGTCGCACCAGCATCACCGTACTCCCCGAACATGCCCGCAGCCAGGATTTCGTCGTTGGCGTGCTTGCCGCAGAACTCCGCCGTTTCATTGCCCTGGCCGGAGACGTAGGACGGGCGCAGGGTACAGCCGCGGCGGGCGCACCGCTTGCTGCGCAGGCCGACCATGCCCTCGCTGGCGTGGGCCTTGCAGGCCCCCGGGATCTTGCTGCTTCCCGCCTCGCCCAGGGAAGGCTGGGTGTTGCATCCGCGCTGGCTGCACCTCCTGCTGCGGACATCGACCATCCCCTCCCTCGCGTGCTGCGAACAAAACTCCGCCTTCTTGCTCCCCGCCGCGGCGAACGACGGGATGGTGGTGCAGTTGGGCTGGATACACCTCTTGTTGTTGACGTTCACCATCCCATCCCTCGCGTGCTGCGAACAGAATTCTCTCTTCTTGGAGCCGGCCACGCCGTAGGTCGGTCTCTTGGTGCAGTTCGCGTGGCCGCATTGGCTCATCCTACTCCCACCACAGCAGCAGCAGCAGTCCTTCCCGCCCCTGTCGTCTGCCACGCACGGTCGATGATGGTAGGAGTGGCCTAGCAGACGCCGTGCGCGTGAACCAGCTGCTGTCGGGAAGAAAATGGGACGTTGTTCATCCGGTGGGGTGCAGTCCAAATATAAAAAAGAAAATAGAATAGCCCGCCTCCCCCACAAAGACCAAGACGCCCCGCACATGCTGATAAAGTGCCCCCCCCCCCCCCGCCGCCGCCGGGCAAAAAGCGAACAAATATATTTGGCTGCTGCATTGTGCTGGTCTCGCCTGTTGCCCCTTTTCAGGGCGATCTGCCATTGCCGGTTGGGATCCTCGTATCTGCGAGGTTTGCGCCCGAGGCAATCATGCAACCCCACAAAGTGCGAACAAGGTGGCACTCAATCCCTGCTGTTTGGTGCTGGATATATATGCTGCGGCGTGTTTGTACATCATACTTGCCTTTTTAGGCCGCCTCTCTGTGTGTGGGACGATTTTTGTTAGGAACTATCGCCGCCTGTGTATGCCCCTGCATTTTGATATGTAAATATGTATGCATACAGTATAGTGAAGTACAAACACTGCAAACACAGACATGAACAGATGTCGCCCCGTTAGCTAATATTCTTGAACCCTGTGCCGAAAGGTTTTGGCCTGGCGCCAGAATAGATAGATGGGACGAAGAGCCACAGCACAAACATCGCAACAGGTTAATTGCCCGCCCGCAAGTCCGTAGAACTCCACCACAACATTACGCATGTGTTGCTGGCGGGTTGCCGTGATGTTTTTTACTTGTTACATCGTGTTGATCGATGCACAAATACGTTCGATTTGTTCTGCTCGTGAGCCTGGGTTTTTGTCTGCAGGCAGGCTGTCACACATAGATCCGATGGCGATGTGTCGTGTGATTTTTCATAAAAAAGTATGTAGCAGCACCTCAATACACCGCTCTCCGCGAAGAGGGGAAACAAAGCATCGTTTTCAATGTTGCACAACTGCCTACATAATGAACTTCCAACCAACACCGACTAGAAAAACTATGATGCCCTGCTAACGACACCGGTGCGTGCACGAATTGTTCTGGTTATGTCATACAACAAGCTCCACGAGGGGCCTGAAGAAAACATGATCGACGTCTGTCTACCTCTTTGCTGTGTGTTGATGTACTCGGTAGGCTAATAACCACCGACCGCCATCTGTATACGCACCACCAGAGAGTTCCACCATGCACCTCTAAGTTCTGCTCATCTTTCTATCGTCTATCGACACCCAAATACTACTGCACCTGTCTGGCCTACAGACAGACCTCTACGTTCATGCCGTTGGTTCCATTCCAGGAAGAAATAAGACGACACCTATGTACCCCTACCCCCTGTGTCTGTCTGATTCCAATACCTGGCTTTCAACACCGCACACAGCAGTTGCCAGTGTGACGTTTTCCCGCAGACCGAACGCTGAACTGGCCACCTTTACACCACAACAAGCTCTTCAGTAAAGCATATTTCCAAAAACAAACACAAGTCACCAGTCACGCATCCACGCCGATGGCGAGGGTGCTCTCGTACTTCTCGATCGACTCGAAGAGAGCCTTGAAGTTCCCGAGTCCGAAGCCTCCGCACCCCCCTCTCTGCAACAGCTCTCCCTCCTCGACCCTAGAAGAAACGCGCACCCCGCGCTCATCTTCGTCTGCAGGACCGAAGACCCCCCGGTCCCCCTCATTGTCGCCGTCCGTGGCTTCGAACGCGCAACCGATGCGCTGGATGATCTCGAAGAAGAGGGTGGGTCGATCGCCCACGGGCTTCGTGAACACCTGGAGGAGCACCCCGTCGTCTTCGTCCTTGTCGGCTAAGAGGCCGAGCTCCTGATTGGTTCGGGGCATGCGGGCGGCGGGTTGTTGTTGTTGTTGTTGTTGTTGTTGTTGTTGTTGTTGTTGTTGTTGTTGTCTTCGCACTAAAAACCGTCCCGATATCTCTACCCAGGACCTTGATCTGTCCGTACTGATCAAACACTTGACCGGTCGATTCCCGTTGTCACGGCGCAGGCGGAATGGGCCAATGGGACTCCTCTCTCTCAATCGGAAGGGCGAACAATTGTTGTAATGCGGAGAGCAGGAGGCATACTGTTGCTCTTAAGTCCAACAACGTCAATGGTGAACAAACGTGGAAGGGAATAGAAGACGTCCTATGAGCGTAGAAGGCAGAATGGTCCTCTGACCCCAACAACGTCAAGTGCGAACGAAGGTTGTAGTGGCAGAGTGTACGAGACGTGCTGGCGCTCTGGCATCCAATAACGTCAAAAATTGCGAGAGATGTTCGCCCGTAATGTTCGCTTCGCCAAACGCGAGGTCCTGCCAACGCATCGACTCTCGAGCCGTGACGGAAACCCGTTCTGATAACACCGCTTTTCCTCGCGGAACGTGCCGGTACCGCGGTATGAATACATCACGAACGGTACATACCGTAGGTGACATGACGTAAGATACCACACACCCCTGGACCGGTTTTTCAAAAGCTCGACTACTCGACAGCACAAAGAGCGGTCATGCCGAAAGTGGCGGCGTTGGTAACTGCCGCGTCGAGAGCTTTTCGAAAACTCATCGTTTGGTTTATGCATCCTCTTCGTCGTGGAGCAATCATCGAGCTTTGAAAATCGGTCCAGGCGGTGTGTTATCTCACGCCACCCCCGTAGTTATGTCACACCACAGACTTAGCGGTCTACTGTACGGCACCACGCAAACAAAAACACAACCACTATAATAGCACATGTATTGTCCCCACTCGTCTCTTCCGCCAAGCTGATTGAGACGACGCGTGCGTCATAACATAAACACACTCGCATTTGCAACATATTTGCAAGATCTTTACCAAGACTCAACACTACCGCACCCCCAATTTCATCGCGCGGGCGCCAGAGAAGGCTGCATACAAACCGCCCACCTCGAGCTGCCGCAGTTGGTCTTCCGTGAGGGACGGTATTCTTCGCGGAACATCCCGGTAGTAAGACGCTCCCGGCGGTTCCATGAACTCGAAGCCCCCGAGGCCCGAGTTCGCCCTCATGAGCCTCATCGTACGGAAGATATCGTTCGTCTTGAGCGCCTGGTTCCGACATCAGACGCGGTTCGTTTTTTTTGGTTCGGTTCGGCAAAAAAGAAGGAAACCAGGAGGGGGGGGGGAAACCTCATCGCAAAGTTTTCTTGACACAAAAAAATCTTACTCCGCGAACAATCAGGCGCAAAGCGTGTTCGACAGAGAGGGCCAACTGGTTGGACTCTGGTGGTCTGAGCGCATACTTCGGCTTGCACTCAGTAGCCGTTTTTTTTTTTTATTTCGACGCACAAAAATTCTTCTACTCAATTTACAAAGGTATACTAAACCAAACCATCATCAATAATGCAGGGCAAAAAGAACCCGAGCACAAGCGTATGACAGAAATGCCCCTTAAGAACCACGGGGGCGCTCAATAGGTCAGGCAGCCGGCCACGGCGTTGCGACCTGGTGCGCAGAACGTCTACGAACCTCTCCCCCGATAATGCCACAGCTGGATGCCGCGTGCAGAGCTCTTGCACGAATCGGGGAGGGATGTGTACTCGGAACAATGCATGCACACTTGAAGATAAATTGCAAAAAAAAGGGTGCTAAACGAAGAACGCCTAGAAATATACGACAGTTCTGTGTTATGTGAGGGTCGAGGGTACGTCAGGTACAACAGCAGTGACTGCGTGTAGCTTAGAAGTACAAATAAATCGCACTAATCACGGGGAGTTCTGGGGAAAGTGGGCTCGCAGGACTTGAAACCACGACTCCAGGAGTGACTATCGGTCGGCAAGCCGTTCGTTCGTTCATCTCTCTCTGCATGCTCTCACAATGTGCTGAAGACCGGGGCCATCATTCTGCTCCAGAAAGGTTTGGATCTGGCTCTTCTTTGCGGTGCCGAAGGTCGGCTCGTTGAGGGGAAGCAGCACCTGCAGCAAACATTACAAGCGAGCCAGAGAGAGGAAAAAAAAAAAAAGTCAAGCCAGGGAAGTGGGAGGGGAGCTACGTGGCCTATCGGCACAAAAAACTTGCGAGACAACATTGAGAGGCAGTTCCCTCCTTTGGCATGCTAGAGCAGCGCGCGTGCTACGAGTTCGGATAGGCGGCAGGGTAGGGGGCCACGCGACGACGTGAAGATACATAGGTGCGCTGCCTTTTGCCCGACCGTTGTGGGACCAAGAAAAAACACCCCCACCCTCACGACTATCTCTCGCGCTTGGATGCCGTACGGTTACCGCCAACGCCGGCCGCGCGGTCGTGCTTGCTTTGCTTTGTCGCGCGAGGCCGGCTTATCGATGCTAACATCGATACGTGCCGCCTACACGAACCAACCCGTGCCAACTAGCCGGGACCAACACAAGCACCATTCCCATACCCGCCCCAAAGCATGTCGGAACAATGCTCCGTCCTCTCGAGGGCGCGTAGTCAAACAATGCAAAACATGAGCACGCCCTCCCCCCAAAGCATGCAGCAGACAGGAACATGCGCACGTAGTGCGCCTCTTCGCGTTTCGGTGTGTCATCTCCAAAAATGCCGGTTGGGCTATATTCGACTACAGAGCGTGTTCTGTGTTGTGTGTTCTGTGTCTGTGAGCTGTGAGCCCTGTGAGGCTCGCCCCTCCTTGTCTGTTTTCTACCTTGCCGTACTTTCCCTTCCCTCGACCTCGGGGGAGCAAGGCCACCGATCAATACACAAACCATTCCCAGTATCAGTTATCAGCCTTTCGATCTGCATGGGATCGACGTTAACAGACGCGGTTTGCACCAACATCGCACGCACCATTTCGTTGTTGCTGGCCAAGACAATGCTGTTCAGGCCGCTGTCCACCGTGCCGACATCGGCAGCTGCGAACTCGGCGAATTCGTGCATCCCTGTCATGCTGGTCATGTACTCCCCCTGCACGTTCAGTCCATCATCAGGTTGTCAGACAAACGTAACCTTTAGGTTGCAAGGGTGATTTCGACCAAGTACGATAGATACAGCGGGTCCGGAGAGAAGAAACGAACGTCAAAATCGCGTCGAGGCTCAGTTTCTTTACTTTTTCACCGCTGTCGAGCACAGGCCGTTACGTAGAAATTAGTATAGAATCCACCGCTGAGAGGTTCTCCTGAACCTATTTTCTTACCTTTCCTGAGATTTTGAGCCTCTGTTTCTCTGTTTCTTATCAAATGTTTCTGAACTGCGGGCCCGTGCTGTAGGTGGTATTCGCATGCTGTAGTTTCCGTGGCCCCAAGACATCATCGCTAGAAAATGGCTAGCTAATCCCGTAGACTACTCAGTCCGGCGCCCGGCTGACTGAGTAGTCTAATGGGCTACTGCTGTAGCCTATATGTAACGAAAGTCATGGCTCATTGGCCTCCCAGCTACGGTAGGCTGCCATCTCCGGGGCGGGACCCCTCTTCATGAGATGCTGGAAAACTATTTGCAGCCTCTCCCTCTTCGCCATCTTGACACAAAAACAAGCATCTCGACTGCGTATTTCGGGCAGAGGCAACGACCATAAATACAAGCATCAAACTGTGGCTTCAGACTTGACACGGATGCTATCCAACACCATGTTCGTCGCCCCCGGCACCAGCAAACTGTTCTGTTGAATTGAACTGCACATACGGAGGTGACAGCGACAACACCCCCCCAACCATATGCAAACCATGCCTTCAAAACTGTGACACACAAAAACTGCGGACGGCCTCACCTGTTCCAGCATGTCCCACACATTCCCCACGACATGATCCGCCCGCTGCAGCCCGAAATCCTCCCGCGCCTCCTCGCCCTCGATATCCACGAAGTTCGGCAAGAAGGCCCCCTCGAACCTGCCACCATCACCACCACCTTTGGCGCCGCCTATGTCTCCCTCCCCGACCATTTTCGATTCCGGTTCGAAGCTGATGAACCTCAGCACGACGTCTCCATACGCTCTGACTTCGGATATCGTCGCCCTACCCCGCCCGTCGACGTCGGTAACGCGCGTTGGCCGACGGACGCTAGCGTTAGAGCCGTCGCTGCCGCAGTGCTCGATGCACTGCTCGTAAGCGTGGGCCGCGTCCTCGACCTCTATCCCGATCGCCTGATTGCGATGTTTCAAATACAAGCTTAGTTCGTTGCATCGTTACGGGAAAAATATGGAGCTGTTGGTGTCGAATCGATTATCCAACCGACGGACACATACGATACGGGCGGTGCGTTCATTGCATCGTCAGGGAAGTATTCACTGAATCGGTAGGGAAGTATTCACTGAATCGGTAGGGAAGTATTCACTGAATCGGTAGGGAAGTATTCACTGAATCGGTAGGGAAGTATTCACTGAGTCGGTAGGGAAGTATTCACTGAATCGTCAGGGAAGTATTCACTGAATCGTCAGGGAAGTATTCACTGCATCGTCAGGGAAGTATTCACTAAATCGTCAGGGAAGTATTCACTGAGTCGGTAGGGAAGTATTCACTGAATCGTCACGGAAGTATTCACTGAATCAGTAGGGAAAAATAGTAGAATTGATGGCGTCGAACCAACGATCAACGAGCAAGACACATGCGGTAAGTACTTGGGTGGTAGGTGATCTCTCGGCACGAGATTCTTTCAGCACCGAGCCGGGCCGGCTAGGGATTTGACGAGCAACACGGTGTGAAGGCAAGAGCGACAAAGGCATCAGAAACAAAGTACCATGGCATGTTTCTAGCGAACTGACTTTAACGGAAGTCGTGATTTCGCATAGCGCTTGTGCGTGGTCCTTACGACTTGCTTGAGTCGTTCACACGTTCGTGCTCGCAACACTTGTAATGTAGCTCAAACACAAACATGCAAACGGATAATAAGTATCACATTCATCCTCCACCTAACCGGAGGACAACAAGTTGGCTGCCACGTCGAGACACACCCGACGGAAAGAAAAGGTTCTGGTGCAACCAAATATCACCCTTGAAAAAAACACTTCCACATGCGCTACACCCGGGAGCCTACCAAGTAAGCTCTCAACCAGTAGGCTCCGAAACTCAATAGCATCACAACCAAGGCCTAGTGAAACATCATTGAACCCTCCCTTACCCGTCCAGCGAGCCCGTGCCGCCGGAAAAACTCGTGAGCCGCTGCGGGATCGAAGCCCGGCAGCGGTGAACCACCGGACTCGCCGACATCAACGACACGCGAAGAGGGGTCTCGTCGGTCTCCTGCTCCCCCCTCTGTTGTTGGCGTCGTGGCCAGGGAGTAGGGTGCGGTGCAGACAAAGCGGAGGTCGTTGCTCTGTACCACGTAGCTAGCGTGCTGGGCGTTCCCTGTGCTCTGTAAATGCGAAGAGGGAGAGGGAGAGGGAGAGAGAAAGGGAGGAAGTGGGGGGGGGAGAGAGAGGGGGAGAGAGAGAGAGGGAGAGAGAGGCCGGCAGACAGACAGACAGACAGACAGACAGACAGAGACAGACAGAGACAGACAGGTAAGAGCTGGTTAGAGAGACGGTGGCGTACAAGGGCGGACACAACGCAACGGCGATGGATGTTCCCACGGACAGGGAGGGGAGGGGAAGACGATGAACTGCTGCCGTAGGCAGAAGAGGAGCCACGCTACTGGAGGGACAACGTAGTCCCATGCACAACGGTGATACGGTGGGCGACGGGAGGCGGGGTAACTTCGCCATGCAGGCGTGCAGGCGATGTAAAGTGACGGTGGAACGGGCAAACAGACGAAGCAACGCGTGCCGAGGGATGATATTGGCAGTGGTTCCGGCAACACCTTGCTATCGTCCCAACAAGTTCCGGGTCAAAAATGTAGTGATTCCGGCAAAACCCTGCACTACTCCCAACAAATTCCGGATTTCCGGATAAACACTGCCGGCAATACCCTGCAATCGTCCCCACAAATTCCGTGGGCCAAACCGAACCTGATCGGACTTGGCGACGAGCTTCATGCCCAGGCCCCACACGAAACGGCTGGCCGCGGCGGTGGCGTCCCCGCAGTAGAACTCCACGTGGTGGAACTTTTTCATGCGAAATCTGATGGGGCGTGATGACGCGCGCGCGTGGACAAAACAAGGTTGTTGTGCACAGCAAGAATTGTTTCAAGGGCAGCAACCAATGTGAAAAGAGACGGTGAGGTAGTGTTGGTGCTGAATGGTCGTGGGGTGTGGCGTTTTGGCTTTTCCGTGCGCACGGGAGGCAATCGATGTCTGCCCAATGTTGGGAATGCTTGCTGTACAAGACCGACTCTCGATTCCACTGCATGGGTCTGGTGTGGTATTGAGAAATCGTTGCCGAGTCTGTCAACCAGCAGGTGAAAGCAAGATTTGGCGTCTGTGGGTGGATAGTAATTAACTCTGTGTTTACTCTTACGATAGCCGGTGAACTGCTGTTCCAACAACCAACGACGAGGTGTTGTGATACAGCAGCGTGCATTACTACGAGCAGGTTCGACATGCGGCAAACAGCTTTGGTGGTGTAGCATTGCGTTGCATCACGTCTGCTGAGTGCGACATCTTACACAAGGGCACCAACATCAACCACCCGCGATTTTTTTCAAATTCCCCCGCCCCTCTTCCACCCACACCGCTCAGCCTAAACATCGCCACGATCCCAACATCCCTCCACGTCACCCGACACTCACAGGTCCGTCCCGGTGTTCTCTTTTGAGGTCGCGCTTGCCAGCTTTCGCGTCCTCGCCGCCTGACGGCCGGCAGCCTGTGCGGCGAGATCGTCGAACCCTAACCCTGCTGTTGATTCCGACAGCATCCGTGTGACGAATTTACACCAACAGCAGCAGGGGCGAAACAGAAGTCGGATATGAGCAGGCGTCATGATTGCGGCTGAGCTGGGTGGTTAATCGGCCCATGTGGCGCACGGAAGCCTGCTGCTCCCTATCGTCACATCTCCGCAACGCCCGCCGCATACGTACACATGTGTCAGCAGGAGTAGTCTAGCTTGATGTTGCGGTCCATGGTCATGTTTTCCAATGTCAAGCGGTGATGAAATTGATCACACACAAAGCCGTTGTTGAAGTATTCCCCCCCAAAGGCAACACGATGCCAACGTCCCTACCACCCTATCTCTAACAGTACAGCACGCCGGTGGCGAATGCAGCAGCGGCAACGGTGGTATGCACGGCGAAAACGATTGCCGGTGTGTCCCTCTCTTCACCTGACGCAACTACGCCCACGTCTGCTGCTGCTGATGCTTCCATAGCCACAGCCGTTGCTGCTACCGTTGCCGCCAGGCGGCTGCTAGACGGCCGCCACTGCGCAGGGCACTCCTCGCGGTGGTCGTGGCGGTGTGTGCCTGCCGCTGGTGTCGGCGGGAGCTTGCTCGGCGGCGGCTGGGTCAAGAACGAGGCGACGAGCGGAGGACTGCAACCCAGCGTCAAGAGCGCGACTAGGATGCTTTTGCTCGCTGCTGAGCTGGGGTTCATCCTCCCTCTTCTCTCGCAGACACACATGGCGATCATCTCGCAAGAGTTTGGGTTGTTGCTTCCTGCAAGGCAACGAGAGTTGTGCACGCCAACACAGCAGCAGTAGAGGTTATGTTGTTGCCGTACGGCGTACGGCAGAGAGGCAGAGCAAGCGCGGCGGATGTTTGACGACGCCAATCGGGTTTGTGGAAAATCTCGGAGGCGTTATCATCATGGGAGCACCGGGGGGAGGAGCATCCCAAAAAAAAAAAAACGTGGGTGTTGCGAGAGAGAAGACCTTACGGTTCACAGCCGGCGGCAGGACAGCACCTAGCTCTAGCACCATGGTGAGTGGGTCTGGCCCCTTTGCGTGTGGGATTCCCGGGAGATGTTTTGAGGATATGGAAACGCTGTTTGTATGACCGTTTTTGGGGTCGTTTTGTTTCCTTGATGGTTGTCCAATACACACCACACAGCAGGGGAGAGCAGCAACCACTTGCTTACCAAGCCGTAGTCGGTGCTTGCTCTCTAGCCACCAGACTGAACAAGGAAGACACCACACCCACAACGTCGGTAGATTACTCAGGTAACTCTTTCGTTTGAGGGTTTGACAGTGCTGGTTGGTAGCGTGCGGGTACGTCGTGTCAGTGGTACTGCTGAGGGGGAAAACGTTGCTTGCTCGTCCACTACAGCACAAGCACCAGTGGGTGTGCATCAACCTGCTGTCTACAGCAGACACAACTCAATAGACGGCAAAAGCGGTGGGAAAGATTGGCAGGGTTGGTGTCTTCGCGTGCTCTCCGGTGTGCACTTGAACGTACGCTCCATCGGACGCTGTTGTGTGTCCGGAAGCACCTGTGGTCCAGTCTAAAAAACAAGAAACAAAAGAGACATCAAGGGCCATTGGTGTGTGGGGTGGGCTGTTTCTGCCGTCGAGGGATCAAGTGCCCTCTTTCCTACCCCAATTCCATCCTCCAGGTCAAGTCTGCCCACAATCCGTAGCTTCTGATCCCTAGAGTTCTCTTCGCAGCATTTTATCGGTGTCTCTCCCTCTGTTTCTTCTCATGCTTGTATGATAAGCTGTCGATGGTGTGTGTTGACTGTTGACATGTCATGTGTACCACCGTTTTCTCGTGTACAACAACAACGACTGCTGTAGCCACTTTTTCTGGAGACTGCCCGGGCACACTAATTACCAGTTACATCTAGGCATGGAGCATAGAGCATACTCCTCCGCGCATATATTATCTTGGCACGGCTGCTACAAACTGTCCATAATATGTGTGGAATACAGCCGAAGTACAACCCACAGCAGTTGCCACGTTCCCACTCACGTCGATGATGCAATCGCACTTGGAAGTACAGCCTTTTCCCTGGGCTTGGAAGCAGTCTCGCAAGCGTCCAAGTCCACCACTCCTGATCGATATCTGCCGGTCTGACCTCTCGCTGGTAGTACTGTCTTTTGATGCTTTCGCTCTCGCTTGTGCGTTGTCCCCTGTGACACTTGACGGAATGCAATTAATTTCCTTGCGGCTTGGACCTACCCGTGGCGGTAGGTTTGGCACATCAGGCCGGCCCCGTGGTTTCGCCACATGGTTCCGTGCCATCGGTGGTGCGGCATATCCCACCAAGTTTGGGCGGACGTTGGTTGTGTCTGGGATCCTCGCATATCGAAACAACCACTCACTGTCAAGTTTAAGTTTTCGTGACCTTCCGACGGCTGGAGGTGTATCACGCCTGTTAAAGAGTTGCCTGTCTTCGCAAGCTGTAGGGCACATACTACGGGGGACTCAACCCCGGAAGCCTTTAAGCGTTACACGACTACCACTGGCGACTGCACGAACACTCTATCAGACATAAGTCCACTGATTTAGTATTCTCCCTGGCAAATCAAGCGTCCCCCCCCCCCACCCCCCCCCACCCTACGGTCACCAAATCACAACTAATCCAAGTAATCATTACACGCCTCCTTTGATCTCATTTAATGTTCTCCTTGGATGGGTTTCGATTTGGCGGCGCGGCGTTTCTCTCTGTTTCTGGCGGCGGCGCGTGCGCGTTCGCGGTGGCGATTCTACTTCCGGCTGGCTCTGTCCAGGGGTTCACTCGGTTTGTGGAGATCGGGCGCGTGGTCCTTGTCAACTACGGCCCGGATGAGGGCAAGCTGGCCGTCATCCTCGACGTTGCCGACAACAACAAGGTCAGTCTAATTTTAAGTGATCTATCTTGTTGTGCAAGAAACGCGCCGTCGAACCCCCCTGTATATTTCCGTCGTCCTTGATGTGGTGGCCGACAACAACAACAACTTCAGTTTTGCTTGAGCACTCTCTCTTTTTTTTGCCGGCATCCTGCATGTGGCCAACATGAACATGGTCAGTTTCACGTGTAGACGTGAACAATCCTTCAATTGTGTTTTTTGGTGCCGTCGAGACTAGTCCCTCGGTGTTTTCGTTGTCCTTGACTAAGGCTGACCAGCGTTGGCCAAGCACTCCGTTGCTCAGTTCCGCTCCCGCAGTCTCTCAAGCAAAGCGTTCATGCGAGGGTCGTTTGCGGATGGAGGGTTGTTGCTGTCATTGTTCTGTAGCCACCACTCCTAGCCCACGAAATAATTGAGCTGGATTGAGATATGAATCCTCTATCATGTCCGCCCCCCCCCCCCCCCCCC